TTCTTCTTCTTCTTCTTCTTCTTCTTCTTCTTCTTCTTCTTCTTCTTCTTCTTTTTCTTCTTCTTCTTCTTCTTCTTCTTCTCCTTCTTCTTCTCATCATTATTATGATTAGTACTACTTCTGGTTGATCAACTCACATGTCCTGATCACAGAGCCGTGGTTTTCTTAGTCTGGATCCATCCTTGAGGTAGGTAAACAACTGTTGGCTGTCTATAAAGGAGTATGGTGTGCCTCCTAGAGTGAAGATTTCCCACAGCAACACCCCGAAGGCCCAGCTGTGTGAAGAGACGAAATAAAGAACTACGTTATTGTTCTTGGTATGTAGCTTCTGTACACAATTGCTTAATTGTTGTAAACAGAACTGATCATATCTTACTGTCTTTAGTTCTTAAAACTCTTTCAAACACAGGTCGTTCTTCTCCTGATGCCATGATACAGTTTGCATTTATAATGACTGACATTAAGATGTAGTTTATGGTGATTCGGCTCGAAAAGGGATACACTTTACTTGAGACATATCAAATTATAGCAGAACTGACGCTTTGGCAGGAAAATAATATGAGTATGCTAGCAGAACTAAAATGAAAAAGAAATATACCAACGGATAGCTCAAATATATACGTACCGAAAAACATGCAGCGCCTGCATACTACAAATACGCGAAAGTAAACTTATTTCCACCCCGTCCAAATAAAAACAGCAATAATTTTAAAAAATGAGATTTGGACCACCGTCATGGCATTAGTGAAAAAAAAGTGTAACCTTTTTTTGGGGTGGGTGGTGGGTGGTGGTCAAAATTTACGTTTACCAGAAAACCTGTTCACCGTACTTACACATCACTCTGCAAGGTATATGTGTTGTTGAACAGCGACTCCACGGCCATCCACCTGATGGGAACACGAGTCTGAAAGAGAAAATACAAAGAGAACATTTAGAAAATATTATTACAATAACGGCATCACACATTGCACCATTTAATATCACAATCTAAGGACGTATAAGTATAACATAAACCATATCCATTGCACATAAAGTAGAGCAGTTCAATTTGTACTTAAGGCCATACTTAAAGACAGAAAAATATAATAAGTATTATAATATTGCCCACATCGATAACGATGAGTTAGGTTTCTTCATTTTCTTGAGGAGGCCTTCGTATGATTCTAAACAGCATGAGAAAACATACTCCTACTTTTTCGCCGAATAGATTCGATTTTTCTTCTTCTTATGAAACATCCTATAGGAAAAGACCTAACAACAACAACACCCGCCCCCCCCCCCCACACACACAAAAACTAAACTTTTGTATCAAAAGTTAACACCCTCATCGCTGTGAAGGTCCTCAAAACATGACTACGGTACCAATACTAAAGTAGTATCACACAAGAACATCTACCAAAGAGTTTTGAACGTTGTATACCGGAAATTCATAGTTTTGTATGCAATTTGAACACAGTGCTGCTAAGATTATACACTTGTGATTTTAGGATAATTTCGTCTTTTATAAGATTGATATGTAATCGTGTACACTGTGCGAGATGAATTCATTGTTTTACATATTCTTAAACAGCATTGATTAACTAATTAGCGTTGTATTTTTAGTTCTAGAAAGCGTTTTACGGCACTTGCAACACAATAAGGTCATATAAGTTCCGAGCGTTGTTGTTGATTTTTGTTGTTTGTTATTTTTTGGAAAGATAAAAAATGAAACAAAACGAAAACGACAAAAAGCAAACAAGCAAACAAACAAACAAAACAAAATTGAAAAAAGAAACAACAAAAACTTACAAAAACAACAACAACAACAAGCAACAAAAAACAACAACCCACAAAACCAACCCAGAGTAAAGCTCTCGGGCGAAACTGCCACCTTAACAATGGCACCTGCATCTGCACAAAAGAACTAACGGAAAGCGACTTACACTTGAAGTCTTGACATAAGTCTGGTCGTTTTTGGACAGTCCGAAATCTGCGATCTTCGCCACAAGTTTATCAGCCAAGAGGACATTCCTTGCAGCGACGTCACGGTGAATGATCTGGGGAAGGACAGTCCATATAGATATACTGATGACTTTAGAACAGAATCACGTCGGAGTTTTTAGTTTTTTAAAACATTTTACGGCACTTGCAACACAAATAGGTCATACAAGTGCCGAAGATTAGTGGTGTACCGAGAGAGTAAAACGCAAATACAAGGAGGAGCGTTTATTGGGGAAGACGGAGCAAAACGCACCAAAGCACCCCCCCCTAAAAAAGCAATCCCCATCAAGTCAGACACTTCTTCGATCAGGAGGAACCAAACATCTGAATTATATCCTAGGCCTTGCACAGTTAGGGCCGTCGCTCTTCTCCCCCCC